TATTGCCTGTAAGATATACAAAGATGGAGAAATACTTTGTTTATAGAGAAAAATAAGCTCTCATGTGCCTAACTCTCGTATGCCTAGCCTCTTTTTTTATGAAGAGAGGTGCCCATTTATACACCTTTGAGGTTAATGTAATGAGTGCTTTTGCAAGTTGCCTTGACACATGGAGAGCTTTCATTTATTCTTATCTGAAAATGAGATAAAGTTGGTATAAAATATCTTTGAGGCGGTATGGGCTTGATAGGTAGTACACTTTGTCTTTTAGGCACTTATTAAGCTGACATCAGTGTGACTTTTTAGGTACAACAAATTTAATCAAGTGAAAACCAATAAATAACAATTTTATGAAGCTGAATTGCTCCAACACAAATACAACAACAATTTAATCGCAAAGTGAAGCATTATACATATACGCTAATGCGTAAATATCACACCTCTCCATTAAAGTTAGTTGGACTGGATCTTCTTTCTTCGAAATGTTAATATTTGATATAAGATAAGAATTACTATCACAAGCTCACAGCTCTCCATTGAAACATGCATTAATTTTTAAAAGAGTAAACCATGTTCCCGCCCAAGGTTTTAGTGAATCTACAAGTTCCCACCCCTAGTTTCATAAATTTCAGATTCTCACCCTTAAATTAATAATTTTGTTTTTAATATACTGGTGATAGAGTAAAGTGGTCATTTGTGTTGGATTAAATTTGAAATATAAATAAAAATTTCAAAATAATCCTCCACATCTCAAATTTCTCTCACAAGCACCCTCTCTCAACTCACCACCATTGTTGTCGCTGTTGCTGATGGTATTTTGTGGATCCCTATCAGATTTCTCACCCAAATCAACAAAATTCATCACCCTTAACCAAACAATCAGACTTCCTCATAGAACCAAACAATCAATCAACAAATCAAAAGAAAAAACCTAGAAAAAAACAATCAAACGAAATGAATCGTCGTTGTGTAGCCGGTGAACAGCGGGATACCGTGGTCGGGGATGATGAGAGTTTTGGAGAGGGGATGCCGGTGAGCCAAGGGTGGTGGTGGGAGGGGTTAAGGCCGTCGAAATCAAACGAAATTTGGCTTGGGACAATCACTTGTTGTACGAAAGAAAACTGGCAGTGGCCAGCGAATGGCGGATGAGTTCGTAGGGGAAGAGGGTGAGGTTCTGGTGGTGGATGGACAACGGTGTTGTGGGTGGTGTTGGGGAAGGTTGCAGGCTCCAAAAAAGGGCCAAATCGACTGAAAAGGAAGTCGCGCATGGCGTGGAAATGGTTGCGGGAATGGCCAAAATCCAGTCAAATGGACAGTCGGCTTGAGGCTTGTGAGGATGGGCTAAGGGTGGTGACTCCAGTCGTTTCCGGTGAGAATACTGGTTGGAATCTGCTCTAAACTATGCCAAGGGTGTTATTGAAATACATTTGAAAATAATATGGGTTATTTTCTAATTCTACTAATGTGGGGGTTAAAAAGTAATTTATTAATTTATTAGTCAAGGGTAGTTTGGTAATAGCATTCACTATACTGTATCAGAGCCCAAAATTCACTAAAAGTACTGATTTAAGAATGAAAATCTGGAATTTATGAAACCAGGGGTGAGAACTTGTAGATTCGTGAAACCTTAGGTGGGACATGTCATTTACTCTATTTAAAAAGTGATATTAATAGCAAAATCTCATAATTTCCAATCAATTCATTCAATATTTCCTTTTTTTGGAGGACAAATTCTCACATTTAAATTATGTCTTAGATGTACTAATACCCCACCCCATTCGCTCAGAAATCTTGGTTCAAATTCTCCGATACTGGGTAAAAGATGCCTCTTCTTTACATTTATTATGGTTCTTTCTGCACGAGTATTTTAATTTGAATTGGAATAGTCTTAGTAATTCAAAGAAATCTATTTCCATTTTTTCAAAAAGTAATTCAAGATTATTCTTGTTCCTATATAATTCTCATGTATGTGAATATGAATCCATCTTCTTTTTTCTCCGTAACCAATCTTCTCATTTACGATCAACATCTTTTGGAGTCCTTCTTGAGCGTTGAATCACTAAGGCTGACTTTCGTCCCTGCTTGACAGGTGGGTCTTGCAGTCAAGCTCCCTTATGCCTTTGCACTCGAGGGCCAATCTCCGTCCGGCTTGAGGAAACCTTTGCACGCCTCCGTTACCTTTTGGGAGGCCTACGCCCCATAAGTGCAAGAGTTTTAACCTTCCATGGATATGTTCACAGCGTCACTCTTCACACTAGAACATCTACTTAGAAGTTCTCATTAGTTCCTAATTCTTTATAGTGTGACATAAATGTGAAATTAATTTCCTTTGTTTTAGGCATCGAGCAAACTCTATTCTGAAACGACCAAACAGGGGTTGCAATCTGCAAGAGTACCGGACACAAAGCATCCTATTTTTTTCAATTATCACTAATAATATTATGTGGTTGGTAATCAGCAGTATACAATTACTGTAAAAATTAACGATGAAGTTAAAATTTCCGCATCACTTGTGAATATTGAACGTAATTTCGTCCGAATATTCTTTTAACTAAAAATTAATGAACAATATTATTGAACAGTGTTGCGGGCTGAGCCTTAATCCAAAAGGCATGTCTATCGTCGCAGGATTGAATGGAAGAGAATGTGAAGGATCTCACATTTTCAAGAACCCCCTTCCTGTCTAATGTAAGATTTTTGGAGTGGAGCACCCTGGCTACCTCTCTTTTGGGCGTCGGGTTGAGGATACGTTGGTTTGATACCACTTGTAACAGGGGTTCCGAACCCTTTATAAGCTCGATGTGGGATTTTTGGAGTGAAGCGCCATGCCTACCTCTCCCTCGGCGCTCAGGCGCGTCACTTTATAGCCTTCTTAAAATTTGCAAAAGATACAAATGACTTTTTGTGCAAAATTTTCATTCTTGTTTTAATGGGCATGATAATAGCAGAGAATGACGTGCTGACGTCGCCTTGCTATAGATGTAACGTGTTTTAATTTCNCCACCAAAACTATGATTTCACGTTCAGTTTTTGCTGCTTCTAAGAAACTTCATCAATCAATCTTTCGTAAACCAACTCTTCATCTTCTTCCTTCTTCTTTTTCTTCTTTCTCTTCAACACCCCATCAAGATTCTCACAATCTCTACAAACTCAACCACAAAGACTGGTTATCACCAAACGAAGTCTTGAAAATTTTCTCCAATCTCAAAGAACCCACCTCCATAATCTCAGTCCTAAACCAGTACTCTCAGAGAAAAGACTATAAACCCAATGAAGCTCTTTTCACTCTCGTCATCAACCACCTCGCTCAAGCCAAAAGCTTTGATGCCATTGAACACATTATGCAAAGAATCAAAGTTGAACGCAGCTGTCGTTTATCCGATGAGTTTTTCTATAATGTCGTCAAGATTTATGGGAATCAAGCTGGGAGAATTAAGAAAGCTATTGACACCCTATTTGACATGCCAAATGGTTATAAGTGTTGGCCGAGTGTTAAAACTTTTAATTTTGTGCTGAATTTGCTTGTTGCAAACAAACTGTTTGATGAAATTCATGAGATTTATTTGAGTGCAAATAGGCTTGGTATTGAGATTGATGAATGTTGTCTTAATATTCTTGTTAAAGGGTTGTGTGAAAATGGGAATTTGGAGGCCGCGTTTTATGTGCTTGATGAATTTCCTAAGCAGAATTGTAGGCCGAATGTGAGGACATTTTCGACTTTGATGCATGGTTTATGTGAGAAGGGGAAGCTTGAGGAGGCATTTGGGTTGCTTGAAAGGATGGAAAGAGAGGGAATTGATGCGGATACGATCACGTTTAACATATTGATTTCGGGGCTTAGGAAGCAAGGCAAGGTTGAGGAGGGGATGAAGCTTTTGGAGAGAATGAAGGTTAAGGGGTGTTATCCAAATGCAGGCTCTTATCAAGAGGTTTTGTATGGATTGCTTGATAAGGAGAGGTTTATGGAGGCGAAAGAAATTTTGGGTCGAATGATTTGTGCGCATATGAGTCCTAGTTTTGTTTCATACAAGAAGCTGATTCATGGACTTTGCAGTGAGAAGTTAGTGGAGGATGTGGATTTGGTTTTGAAGCAGATGGTGCAACAAGGTTTTGTTCCGAGAATGGGGATGTGGAGGGCGATTGTTCGATGTGTGTTGTCAGGGAATAATGCTAATATTTGTCTAGATGAAATTGTTGATAGCTAGGTGATTGAGTTGAGTAGATATTTATGGTTCTTGTTTTCTGTGGTCCTTGAAAGTGGACAGGAAATGATGTTGGTGGAAAATCAATGGTATGCTGAAACAGGTTTGAAACTCGTCAACTGGATTGGACTGAATGGAGGAAGCTGAAGATGCTTCAGCCTGTATTATTATCTTCAAGTTGACACTTTTAGCCTGGAACTGACATCACACATTTAAACTGATAATTGTGATCCTTTAACCGTTTATTCATCAAACAAAGATTTCAAGCAGAGCTTCTGGCCTTGACTACCCATTTCACATTTTAGGCATAGCTGGTGTATTTGGCGGCTTCTTATCCAGTACTATGCATGGTTCCTTGATAACCTCTAGTTGGATCAGGGAAACCACAGAAAACGAATCCGCTAATGAAGGTTAATGATTCAGTCAAGAGGAAGAAACTTATAATATCGTAGCTGGTCATGGTTATTTTGGCTGATTGATCTTTCAATACTGTAATGTGCATATGTATTCCTAGTTCTTAATCTCGTTATTGCTAAATCAATTTGAGGGATCAGTTGCCCTTGGATCTTTATCCTGGTCTCTTGTAACCCCTGGCAATGGTGGTGATATCAAAAGTCTACCTATATGTTCAAGCCATATTGTTGTTTAGGATCTAAAACGATTCTCGCATAAACAATTGTTTCTTTAAATCCTGCTACACGCGCATTCATTCAATAAACAGTTGTTTGATTTAATATTTTTATGCACAATGTCCCTTTTATGCAAAATGTCCGCGGAAACTAAAGAGATAAAGCAAAATTAGTCCAAAATTCGTCCTGTAATTGTATTCTGTAAACTGCTATACAGAAATGCTGACATGAAATACAAGCATACCCACAAGAACACATTACACCTGAAGCTGCAGCAGGACTTTCCAAAGCTAGTACCGACCATCCTATTTGGATGCTATACAGAGTAAGAAAATCAACAAATGAACAGAATAGAGCAAAATTTTAATGTTCACCCTGTTATTTACTCGGCATTTGACAACACTAACAACTATGAGATAATATTTTCAGCTGAGCGAGATTTTTTATTTTCTGTGTGTTTCATATCCTCCTCAGAAAGCTTTGGAGTTACAGACACGATGAGTTCATTACCACTCCCATCCAATTTGCTTATCTCGTTATCCCATTTCTTCTCATCAGCCTCAACACTCATTTTCTCCCTTTGGTCCTCAGCATCCATCTCAGGATCACTTGAACCAGTCTGAACAATACGCTCCTTGGTATTACAAGACTCATCATCGTTTCCCCACTCAGGTATTTTTTCAACTATGGAGGGTGATTGAAAAGAATCATCATGAGAAGAGTCAGATTCCGGATAAATTTCTCGTTCAGTCCCTGTAGTTGAATCACCTGGAGATTTTCTAGACCCTTTTCGGGAAAGTACATGCTTTATGTTGCGTGCTCGCTTCTCTGCCTGTTTCAGAATGCTCTTTGCCGTAACTTTCATATGCTTCCTTTCAGGGCTTTCTTGATTACTTGTCTTTTCAGGGCTTTCTGGATTACTTCCATCTGAATTAATACATACTTCTTTCAGAACGCTACCAGAAATGGGCCCTGGAAGGTCTTCTACAATGAACTTCACACCAACATCCCTAGAATTGGCTGCTTTAAGGTTAGCATGTGGAGATGTAACAGGCTCTGAAATGCTGCCTGAATAATCCCCCCTTTTAGGACTCCTTTGAAACATAGAACCAATCTTTCGTAAGCCCCGCCGAACTGAATTTATAGGATTTTTACCCTCAGAAATTTCATCAGTACTGCTGCTGTCATTGTTCAAGGATCCAAATGCTGCTGAATTGTTGCTGTGAGAGGAATCATTATGCACTCTCTCGATCTGGGTATCAATGCGCCTGCTCTTCCCTTTTCTAGGCTCCCAAGTCTGTGCTACTTCACTTCCTGGGTGATGAACCCATATCCCACACTCCTCTTGCCCCTCAATGTTTATAGGTTCAAAATTATCAGCCATCTTTGGTGACTTATCTGACGTTACAGATGAAAAGGAACCTCCACGAGTCTCATTGGCAAAGGAGTTCTGTATGTCTTCCTTGCTTCTTAGCTCCTCTTCATCTTGAACTCCTTCCTTGTTTAATGTTTCCTCATCCCAAGGATGTTGCCCAGGATTCTCCCCCTGCTAAAATTTATGCCAGAAATTCATGTCAAACTTACTGCACATTTCAGCGATCCATGTAAGTATTCCACCATAAGGTAGTGCAACATCTTATTTTCAGTAGTAGTTCAGTCAAACCTTATAGGAAAATACCTTTGCACTCTCTTCAGTTACTGTTATTGCGAGATGCAGCCTGCCCATTTTAATGTTCTTAAGAGGTATCCACATGTCGTGTCTCTGACCATCCCTAAGATCACTGATATTTATGGTACAGTCACTGCAGCAGATAGCAGAAGAATCAATCATTTAAAACATTTGAATTCTAATTTTCCGTGGTTTAGAGTGAATGACTACATCAGAAGCGTGAAAACAAAGCCAAAACAGAAAACTAGGATAGCAGCATAACATCGACAGCCAAAATGGAAAACCAGGATAGGAGCATGGAAAACCAGGATAGGAGCATAACATCAACGGCCAAAACATAAAACAAGAATCAAATCACAGAATCAATATCAACATCCATTTCTAAGGTGAATCAAATAGAAGATAATGATAACTGTTGCCAGGAACCTGAAAGTTATTAAATGATTGAAACCAAAACCGTAAGAGTACAGGCATGCCAAAGTACAATAAATTTGCATCGCTAAGTTTTGGGACAAACTAAAATCTCAAAGAACACTTCCGGGTATGCATCAATTGTTCCGACTGGGACAACAACTCTTCCTTTCATTCCTATACATGTATTAGAGTATAATCCGTGCTTTGCCATCTAGGAGAAGGGTTTTCTAGGAGCAGTTGCTCCAACAGAAAAAGAAGATGAGTAACTATTAATAGTGTTATTCTGAGGTGCAAACATGAGAAGCAGTTGGCACTTACAGCATGAGGATTACTCATATTAGCTATTCACTTTGTTAAGATGGTATGTTTTATTAATACACAAAAACCTGGAAATATAACTGCATTGCACTTTTTCCAACAATGGATGCAACTGTTGTGAGGAGGCATGACAACTAGGAAGTTTAGAGAATTACCCAAGGGTATCATCCACAAAATGGTCTTTGTCACGAACTTCAATAGATAGCACATTAGGTGAATCCCATGAACATATGGGGACCTTAAATTCCTCTTGCCATTTTGGAGTCAAAGTTTTCTTTTGTGTCTTAGTCCTGAATCTGTACTGTCCAAGTTGCCCCTTCACATAGGGATCAGCCAAACCTGAAAAATTCATTCCAATCATTAACAAATCACGACGATTTGAATACTATGTGATGGGAAATGACTCATAAAATATTAAAGCCCAACCATTTAAATCTGATGGTTTCATGTCAGATGCTTCAACAACTTCAATAATTGCATGTGCAACAGGTTCCTTCACATCAACAGAGAACCAATTATCTGAAAAGCATATAATTAACAAAGAGGTAAAGTTTAGCTTATCGGTGAGAAAATAGAGGAGTGAAGTACTAAAAAAGTTGAACAACTGGCAACAAATTCTACAACAGATTGTCAAATGTGTTCCAATGCAAAAAGAACCTAAAACAAACTGTCAATATCCACATGTTTCTTCAAATACGGAAAGATGACTTAAATCAGGAACTAAGTTGATGAGAATCATGTGGCAATTGCAAGTCACTGCGAATAATTTTAACACAGCAAACTGTGATTCAACGTCACAGGTACTCTATTTTTACGTCTTCTATTGAGAAGACACTAGATTTGGACACCTATCAAGATTTCCCTCTAAATCTTTTGTTTATATACCCTTTTCAAAAGCCAACATAAAAGTTAATATGAACATGCTGTAATTGTTAATTTCCTTTACCTCACTTACTCTCCTAATGATTTTTGAGGACAAGTGCTACATCCATGTTTTTGTTCCCTTGTCCTTCCCAAATACCATAGTTATGCATTACTATTTTAAATTCACTTTAGCACTGGTATATTATTATGCCTATCTACAGTTAGAAGCCTGATTGCTCTCTATGGTCTCCTTTTTTGATCCTTACTTCTGTTGTTGTTCTTTCTTGCCCTAAAAAGGAGATGAGAGTGAACCAATGGGTCTTTTGCAGAATGCATGAATCTTGTCATGCACTCTCACTACACAATCCCTTTATTTTTTTATTATTTTTTTATTTTAGAAGAAACATAAGCAATCCCTTTATTAAACCTTCTCACAATGCAAGTACCTCACTCTACCGAAGCATTATCCATATTAAACTTCAAATAATGAAGGAATATGTCCCAATAGAAAATAATGGACCAAAAGAAATGTTATCAACTAATGACCACTCCTAAAAATAGCACAAACCCTATAAGAAGATTTCTGCGGTAAATTAATTACCTGGCTGTGGTGAGGTAAACTTCTCCATATCTACAACCAGCATATTGGGCTGCAAAAAGATAAATTATAAGATCTGAATTCAATCCAGATAGAAATGTTTCTGGTTTTGGGACCTATAGCTGCATCCCAAAATAAAATGTTGATTTTTAGATTAAAGAAAAAAAGATGACAACTTAATGAGTGCAAAAGGAAAGTAACCTCAACAAGTGTCTGCTCAAATGCGACGGATAGAAGCTTGTCCTAATCAAAGAGAAGACAATACAAACAAGATTAAAAGAGGAAGAGAGAAATTTATGAACCAAAACAGATAAATTCATTCTACAAAAAGTGAATTAAACTTACTAGCCATCCAGCAATTCCTGGAAGCTCTGTAACATCAAGCCCGTGAGTGAAGATAGGTTTTACAGTCATCTGAAAATATGGAGGCTCAGAAAAGCATAACCTCAAACGGCCAAGGAAAGGCCACTGACGAAGAAACTTCACCCCAATCAAAACCTACAAGAGGATAGTCGTATCACTTAAAGTCAGAACAATTCCATAGTTCTTCAGTTAAAAGTAACAAAATCCAATATCAACTGACCAATATTTATTTTAGAGAGGAATGAATGCCATTCAATTAACATAAAAATCTGTACCTTCCCTTCAACGTGCATGCCTGTCACATGCAACTTTGCCCACATTCCAAATCCTAGTCTTTTTCTCAATTTCACAGCAATTATTGCGCTCATATCATCTGCTGTGAGAAAGTTCATACCCAACTCTAATACCTGCCAATATCACACAGTAAACTCTCCCTGAGGTTGTTAAAAGAATAAACTGAAGGACCGCCACAGAAAAAAACATGCTCCAAGATGTCTAGGGTAGTATTTATTTTAACATACCAAGTGGTCATCATCATTAGAATGGCGAAGAACCCTCATTTCTGTAAACATAGGTGGGTTTCTGCCCAGGTATAGGTGCTGAACCACAGCTTCCTTCTGCCCACGTAAGATATGTTATTAGCAGTATACTCATATTTTGGATCTAAACTTAATCTACCTAGAAAAGTTACAAATTTCCACATACGTTCATACATGCAGACAACCACACCTAGTACTGGACATGGTATTACCAAAATTTGGTAATCATACAGCTACTTCGTATCCTTCAATAAAACTGAAATATGCAATAAAGAATTCTTTACTTTTGCCATTTTTACACTAGTATTGTGCCAACCATTCCACCATCACAGAACATCCTTACACAGTGACCATAACAAAGCAGTTTGTATTAATCGAATCAACAGCTAAAAGAATAACTAAAAAAGAATTTGATACGGTCAATTCAGAAAGAGATGAGATTCGTACGGCGGTCCAGGGTTTGTACTTATCCAGAAACCAAGGTATAATTGGGAGCAAAATCTTCTGCGAAGCAATCTGTTCCAAGCATATAGGCCATATATTTGCAACAGCATGATTCAGCCATCTCACCGTTTCAGAATCCGAAAGCACCTGAAAGTAAAGAGAAAGCAATAAACCAGTAAAGCATCAGAGCATCCAAGTTAAAGTCTTTTTTCCAGGAATCAGAAAAAGAACAAGAATAAACCCATTTTTGTTTTAAAATATGTATGGTATGCAGCGAAGAGAATCGCAAAAGTGCAAAGCAAATCTACCTTTACTCTGTCCAATTAAAAGAGAAACTTTATCCTTAGTTACAACATCTTCTTCTTTTTCAGAATATCAAAGAAAACAAGACCCCCTTTCTATAGAATTCAATCAAAATATTTAACTTTGTTAAAGTTTCTTCTCCACTTTCCCCTTCTCAAAAATCTCTTCAACCCAGATACTCAAATAAATCAAAATGCCCCTTAAACACAACTAAAAAGTCAAATGTAACAACATGGACCCAGATGCTTACTAAATTAAAAAATTAAAACCAAAAAGAAATAAGAAAGAAAATTTGATTACCCTTCTCTGATAAGATTGCTTCCTCTCCTCAAACTGTAATTTTCTCCTCAATCTCTCAACATATTGCTCATGAACCTTTCACAACACAAAGGAAACAAAACAATTACTTCACCATAAACTTAACATGTTAAAACCCAAATTAATCAAACGAAATCAATAAACTTACCAAGTAAAGATAAATTAAAGAAATAAAAAAAACTATAGGACCGCATCGATTGAACGAAGAAAGCAACCAAAGAAACAAGAAGACAATGCCCACATGATGCATTATCGAAACCTCCATTAAAGTATACATCTTTAGTTTCCAGAAAACTTAGATTTCTTCGTATAATGGAAACAAAATCATCAACTTTAGAGAATAATTATAACTTCCTCAAACCGAACTCAACTTAAACTGAAGGGGTTTTATTTGTATTTCTGTTTCTGACACTTTGACAGTTACAAATTTTGACATGGGTTTGTTTGTTTTGTCTTCCTGTTGTTTTAAAACGGAGATAAGTGAAAGAAGCAGAGGCGGAAGGAGGAGAGTTATTAAGAGATTTATCAGGTTAATTACCCACCCTCCCTAGGTAGTTGTCTGAAAACGGTACCGTAGAGAAGAAGTTAACGATTATTTTAATTAATTAACTAATTGAAAAGACAATGTTAGAATGATCAACAGGTAGGAAAATTGACTGTCTTTTAGTGACACGTGTCAATACGTGTCCAGTCAGTGTGGCGTTGTGGGCCCTTGTTATGTTTTGGTAAGTTGGTTCACAATGTTGCCTAAGAGAGAAGGGATATCTTTTGCCTGGTTTTACAAAAATGATTTATCTTAAAAATAAAATAATTTCAATATATTATATATATAAAATAGTTATATTCAAATATTTTTAAAAGGAATATGTTAAGATAACGTGTTACAATTTATATAAAAGTGAAAAGAAATAGTTTTTACAAAATTATTACAATATCTGAAATACATCTGAAGAAATTTATTTTAATACAATATAGAAATTAAAAAAAAAAAAATTCATAACCGAGATTAATACGAAATATTATTGTATATAAAATTTTAAATTTTCAAGCACCCGTCCCTATTAGGTAGTAGTTACCAGTACGACCCCTTGGATCTGGATTTAGTCCTATGTATTTGGAAGCAAGGACACTGACAGAAATCTCTTTTAAAGGAATGCAATATTTACCTTACCCCCACTAAATAATTTTATACGGTTTTACAATCTGAATGCTCAAGTAGTGGAGAAATATCGGAAAAGCGTATTCAATGGAATAGAAAATGATGATGGTCACATGCATGCATGTTGGCCACTTGGCAAAGTTGGTTTAGGTAATGTTATCACGTAAATTAAGGAATTTAAATATATTCTTAATTATATAGGAGGATAATGTTAATGTATGGACATCCAGCCGACAAAAAGGAAAAGTAAGTAAGTATGTATGTGCATGTCCAGTAATGTGAGATTATTGAAATGGTAATTTATGTAAAATCCTTCCAAAGATGCCAGATAATATCCATCTCATTTATGTAAAGGCTAAAGACTAGGTAGCGTGACATTTATGTAAGTTACGTGTATTATATTATGTGGGCAAACTGCCACATTAACCAATTAATGAATAGATTTGACGTTGCCAATTCATGCATGAAAGGCCTACCGCATAATTAATTATTTATTTATATTAAATTAGTGAAAGGGCTAGTTGTATGTCAAATGTCAATATCAGAAAGGGAGAACGATATTTTCCCACACACAAAGTATGAGGAAAGGATACTTTCTTATTCATCAAGTTTTAAAATGATACTTTTTCACCTTTTGTTATGTTTTATTATATTTTTTATTAATATTTTATTAAAAAAATAAAAATATTTTTAAATATTTTATTTTATAATTTTTTTATTAACTAAAAAGTCAAATATTAAAAATTAAAAAAAGAAAAAATAGTTAACCTCACTTAAAAAATTAAAAATAATACTATAAAATTGTATAAAGTTAAATAATCTTAATATTTATTTATAATATCATCAATATCATATCACTATTATTTATAATATTTTTCATTTTTACTAATTAATATAAAAAAATCAATATTCCTAATTAATTAAATAAACAAAGAAAAAAATATATTTTTATACTTGGACTAATAAATAATCGAATAAAAACTTTGAATTAACTAAATTTTAATTTATAATAAACTAATTAAGAAATAAAATATTTAAGGATATTTTCGTTTTTTTAATCAAATATCAACAGAAAATAGTGATAAAATACTAATAGAACCTAACAAAGGGTGAGAAAGTGTTATTTTAAAACTTGATGGGTGGGAAAGCACCGTTTCATCAAACCTTGGGTGGGAATATGTTGTTCTCCCTATCAGAAAGGTAAGTAAAGGAAGGTGACGGACGATGAGTTTGCACAGAGAAAGCTTATCCAACTGGGACTTAATTATTATTTTATTATGCAGTAATTAGTGGAGTTGTTGGATATATCTGCAATTTTATGTTTTCCGCGTTTTCACTTTTTCCTTCGCTATTTTATATATACATGTCTTTTGACCTGATAATATCATCATCTTCTTCTTCTTTTTCAAATTAGATTTGAATTTTATTAGTCAAATATGTCAACAACTTCGAAATAAGATGGTTGAAGAAACACTACTTTTACTAATTCGGAGGTTCCCTTTGACTCCCCCAAATGATATTTCTTGCAAGTTTGAGAGTTTGTTAATACTATCATTAGACCATTTATTTAAAAACAAAATTGAATGTTAAAGCCATTTATACTAATTATTCTACACCAAATGATTTTATACTATTATTACACCTTTTGTTTAAAAATAATATAAACTAATCGTGGTATAAAGTGATTAGATGAATTTTCTCCTAACTTAATAAATATAGATGAATGATATAAAAATAAAAGATTTATAAAAAGTTACATACTTAGTTTTGACATATAGCACCACTGTTTACTTAATTACTAAGTTTTTGTTAAGTGGTTAATTAACCAACATTGATTATATAATATAATAATACTAATACTAACAAACCCAAAATCAGGTTTTGCAATAAAATATAATTTATAGGGATTACACAATACGTGTATACCCATTATTCAGTGAAAATTACAATTGGGCCCCCTGGCCATATCGCTTTGTGAAAGCAATGCTCTTAAATTACAAGCAATTAAAAAACGATAAAAGTAAGGAAATTTCGTTGAGTCGGGTGAGATGTCATTATCCAATAAATTTCTTTTTCTCTGTCACTTCAGTGGCTATAACAATGTCCGCAACTATTCCGCGTCGGCACGGCAGCCAACGACCCACTCACTACAGTCTAGGCCACACATCATTGATTATTATATGTTGATATTATGAATTTTTTTTTAAAATTTTATATTAATTATTACATTGGTAATGTTACTAGTAGTTAGTATCAGATGATTTGCTAATAAATTGATTTTATTTAACTGTGCTCACAAATTTATAAGCTTTATAGTGAATTTCCTAAAAGCGAACATCACATACTCGTTGGGTAAAAATTGACCCATAACCAAAAGGTGTCTTGGAGGCCCAAAACAATATTCAAGCCCTTAAGATTTGCCCAAATTCTCAATTCTAAATGCTCAAACTCTCATGATGAATGCTTTTGGGCCACACTTGAGTTTATTCTCACTTATCTATCTTTAATTAAATATAATAATTATTTGATAGAGAAATTCTATAGTATTAACATGATACCAAAGGACAATGCATGCATATAATAACTATCAACCATTATTAATCTAAAGACAAAGAAGTGACATAATTTTATCTGAGGGTGATAAAACCTCCCATGCATTCTACTTTACATGCATGTATTAACTTGTGATATCATATCAACAATACCATCGTGGTATTATAGACTTTCTCATATATATATATATATATATATATATNCATTAGTGCATTAGGGAGCATGAGATAGCTCTACACCTTTGTTTATACACTTGAGAAGTAGCTTGAGATTTAGTATAGAATGTGAGTATAAGTTCTTTAAGAGTTAAGAGAATAGAGTAGGTTGTGCGATGGGGAACCCGTGAGTAATGGGTAGAGTATTCCCGCATGTACGCTGCATTGAGAGAGCGGCATGAGTATCAGATAGAGAAGTGGTGTAGCCCGTGAGAGTGCATGCTGATGAGGGCTATACTCGAGTACCCGAGAGAGAGATTATACACTCACATGGCCAAGGGTTCCAATTCCATGCATAACCGAGTCCGATCGGCTAGAATGAGTAGAGGTCACGTAGAGTGGGAGCGAGTCCCGACCGTGCCCCCGGTAAGATGGGGTCGTGACTTACTAAAGAGGTAATAGAAAAGAGTTCTAAGAGAAAGAGAAAGAGAAAGAGAAAAAGAGAGAAGTACCCAAAGAGAAATTGAACGAGGAGTTGTAAGGAAAGAATTAGAGAGAGAGAGTTACGGGGCTAGCATGAGTAGAGGATTTACTTACTGCGCATTATTTTAGTGCTCACCCCGTTGTTTTCCTATGTTTTGCAGGACCTAGGTGAGGACACTGTCGGATGGATGTCGGCGTTCGAGAAGGAGTGGTTACACTGTCCCTTATGTTTTTGATGACTTTTGTATATGTTATACATTTTGTCTAAAATGTATATGTTTGTAAAGAATATATATATATATATATGTTTAATAAAAGAAAATTTTGGGCCCAATTTCTTTATATTATTTCATATGTATTTTATTATGAGAATTTGAGTAGTAGTGGCTATTACACAACCCGACGCTTAGCTTGCGGGGGGGGTGTTGAGGATACTTTGCCTCAATCTAAGGCATAATATTTGTAACCGTTTTGACCCATGATTCTAGCCTTGATTCTACCATATTGTTTCCATCATTTCCATTGTAATTGATATGTAAATATTCTAGATTGATTCTAGATTGATTTATAAATATTCTGTACATCTATATAAATAGAAATACTCACCACTTCAAGCAGTGTGGTGAATTCTCTTCAAACTGTCTCAATTCAAAATCCAATCTTAATCTCCATGATCGAGAAGAAGAAGAAGAGGGTTTGCAAATGGATAGACCTGTACCTTGATGCGCTTTATCATGAACATAGGCTGCGTGGTCTTGCGCAAGATCTTACTTTCTCATTCGTTACAACTTCTTACAGCAAATCGAGAGTTTAAGGAGGCTGGCTAGAAGATCTTAGTTTTGACATATATTTGGTAATAAACTTTTAAAGGAGAGGTTAATACTTTGAATTTTATGCATTTTAGTTTTGAATCGGTAATATATATATTTTTGTAAATATTTTGTTGAAATTTTTAACATATTTAGCTACCAGTGCTTGAGAAATCAAGTAATATATATGTGTATATAAGTATATCAGTGGCACTTCTTTAAACCCTAAATTTTGATGCATGCTTAAATTGTTAATTGTAAATGGAGTGATTTTGATTATGGGTTTGATGTTTCAATTGACATGATGGTCGACTAATTATTCCAATTAAGTTATTATAAATTAGACAGAGAGAGATTTCCAGCAATATATAGAGGCCTATTGAGAGAGTTTTAAGTTTTTTAAACAGAGTAATTACTTAACTGACTTCTGATGGTTTATTAATGAATATGAAATATTCTTTGGTATTTAATTATAATATAAAGCTGGTGAGAAGAAAAAAAAAATGATATACTTATTTGGTTTTGATTTTTGCAGAGGTAGAAAATTGAACTTAAAGAAGAATAACTTGAAAAGATAACATAATTTCCACAGGTCAGCTATTATTTATTCATCTTATTTGAATTTTTTATGTATTAAATCACGGGTTATATATACTACCTTCCAAGTGTATGGTTATCCAAAGGTTGACCTTTTCGTAATTCAAGGAGTACAGAGAGGTAATGTTACTATTGTAATAATTTCCTGCATAGTAATTGTTGATTTATTTTTTAATAAAGAAGATTTTATTAGTAAAACTGTTTTCATGACCGTGCCTTCCTCCTCAAATCATGAAGGTTACGAGAGCGTAATTTTAAACATGAAAAAAACAACGACAAATTTTTATTTTCTTATACAATAGTAGATTTTTTTGGGGATATATTTGATTTTTTAGAGAGTATAAATAAGAGACAAACTTCTCTTCTTAAATAACAAATTTTAGTAAAACAAAAAGTTCTTTCCGTGTTTATTATTGATTGTCAAGTATTAATAAGATAGTGTGAAGTTCTATTTTATTAAGTTGTGTAAATTGTAAGAAGAGTACAAAGATAGTTTGGGCTCTTGTATCCATAAGACGTGTGCCAGGGAGTTTGTTGTATCGAAAATTCAACCGCAAAGACATGAAGTCGTCTTAAAAGAGCGACATCTGTAACGTGTCTCATCCTAATCTGTCTTTGGTGGTATTGTTTCGATAACTTTTTTGGGTTCAAGCTGTTTTGGTAAATTTGTATCACTCCATAGTTTCTTCTATTAAACTAACATTAATTATACAAAATTTATTTTGAACAAGTTCATTTAAAAATTCAATGGAACTGATGCATGTATATCTGTCAAACGCGTACATATCACATCAGTGTGTGACCCCAACGTTTTAGATGACTGAAATGGTGCATCCATGATCCACTGTGGAAGACTTTCTCAGGTTTGTGCATGAGAATTAGCCTAATATTTTGGTAGATGGCATATTGTGACATCAAAAGTAGACCCAAAATGCACCTGCTAAAGGGATAACCAGATCCAGGTATAATGCAAATCTAACTAATTAGCTAGTGATGTTTTTCTGTTGTCTTTTGCAGATTCTTTTACCTTTTAGACAATAAAATTAGAAACAATAATTTAATAATACCAATCTCTAACAACTCCCATTGGACCTTTTCGCACTTAAGTCAACTTGAGAGCGATTCATTGTCTCTTCATCTTGTTACATGCGTAAACTCAGGAAATGGCGCCCTCTGTATTTAACAAAATTTAATCACCGAAAACACAACTTGTTCATTTTTTTATCTCCTAATTATTAACAGCTATTACCTTCTCACATTCCACTAAATACATAAGCTCATACTATTCTCTTCATCTGTATATAAATTCATCTACAGATGTTATAAGCATGCACATTCAGATAATCATAAATATAAAGCTTGTAGAGAAATGAGTCGAATGTTGTTCAATTTTCAAGTTATTTTAACTTTGATTATAGTTTTGTTTACAGCAAATGTTACTTCGCAGCTTCAAGTTGGGTTTTATAAAAATTCATGTAGATTTGCTGAGTTTATTGTTAAAGATGAAGTTAGAAAAGGATTCTTTAGGGATAGGGGCGTGGCTGCTGGTCTCGTGAGAATGCATTTTCATGACTGCTTTGTTAGGGTAAGTAAATTTAATTGAGTTATCAATAATTTTAATATTTTCATAATACTAATTTATCATCAATCAATGGATTTGTGATATGTTTTTATAGGGTTGCGATGCATCTGTGCTCTTGGATTCCACTCCCTCAAACCAAGCAGAGAAAGATTCTGTTGCCAATAACCCTAGTCTACGAGGATTCGAAGTTATTGATAATGCGAAGGCGCGACTGGAAGCTCAATGTAAAGGAGTTGTTTCTTGTGCTGATATACTTGCATTTGCTGCGAGAGACAGTGTGGAGCTGGTAAGCAGAAGACGCCGTTGATTAGCCTCTCTAATAAGGATTTTGTTTGGTTAATAGAATGAACATCAGTTTACTTTTATGCAGGCTGGAGGGATTGGCTATGATGTTCCTGCTGGAAGAAGAGATGGCAGAGTTTCTTTAGCCTCCGAGTCATTAACCAATTTACCTCCACCTTCGTTCACTGTAAATCAACTAACTCAAAGATTCGCAAACAAGGGCTTCACACAAGAAGAAATGGTTACACTCTCAGGTAATAGCACTACAAGAAAAATTTGTTTTTTGACCATCTTTCTGCTGACGTAAATATTCATTTTTGGGGGCTGAATCTCCTCTAAAGTACGTTTTTCAAGCATTTGAAGCCGTTGGATATCATCGATAATTCTCTTGTTGGAAATTATATTCTCATGATAAAAAATAATACTATTTTCGAGATGCATTATCCTCAAAAATTTGATTAGAAATATATTTCAAAAGATGAATAAAATATTTATGAGAGAAAAAACCAATCGAAACCTCTCATAATATTACAATTTCTGAGAGATTTAAGCCCTCAGAAATATATTTAAAACAGATAATTTTTGTTGCTAGAGTCTATTTGTCGTTGAAAAATTATAAAATTTGTCAAAAATATTAAATTATCTTTTCAGCTTGCTGCAACACAACTCTGGAGTCAGAGTAGGCTTACCCTATAAAATAGTTTATTACTCACAAAGCACATTGAACCATGCATATATGCAGGAGCACACACCATCGGACGCTCTCATTGCCCTTCATTCAGTGACAGATTATACAATTTCAATGGAACAAACAGTCAGGATCCAAGTTTGAACTCCATGTACGCTGCTCAGTTGAAGAGACAGTGCCCACAAGGCAGCACAGATCCAAATTTGGTTGTTCCAATCAACCCTTCGAGTCCAAACGCAATGGATTCGGGATACTATGTCGATATTCTAAACAAACGAGGGTTGTTCACATCAGACCAAACTTTGCTCACGAACCCAGAAACAGCAAGGCAAGTGAATCAAAATGCGATGACGCCCCTCCTTTGGAAGAATAAATTCGCGGCTGCAATGGTGAAAATGGGCAAAGTTGATGTTTTAACAGGCAGTGCAGGAGAAATTCGAGCAAACTGTAGGGTTGTTAATTAATTAAGATTGTGTATGTGTACAATTTGGATACATATGGTTGAAAACTATATATATGCGTTAAATTAACTATATGATTAGTATTTTTGGATGGTTTAATAAGGTTTTTAAGCCACCCTCCAGCTCAAGTTTTTGAAGCATCAATAATACAAAATTTTCTGGTTTTACAAGTGTTTGATTTCCAGAGTAAAAGAGATGTAGATTCTTTTTATTTTGGAAGCCCTTTAAATTAATTCTTAGTGAAACAATTATCGTTATGGACATGGATTAATTTAAACCTGACGACTAATTTGACTGTGAATTCTTAATTAAAAAATCAATTAGGATCTTGATAATATTTTGATATTCTAGATATATATATTTATAATTAGAGTCGCCAAAACATATAATCTAATTTGAGATACTTAATTAGAGTCGCCTTAATAAGTGATTAAATTGGTGGCCTATTAATCTCTTCTGCCGAATTTGAGTGCGAAAATGCTTAATTAGTATTGTAGCATAATTCTTGTGGAAGTTTGGAAGGGATAGTTTTAGGAAACCCCGTCTGTTTGATGAATTTTAGGAGCACCCAGTAGTTTGAGAAATAGGAAGAAAACCCCATTTTTGACGGTCCATCTAGTTAAATTGTAAAAAAATATTGTCAAATATCAACAATGACCATTTTACCCCTTAGAATCTATGAAGAATGTTAATATACCAAATTACCAATTAGTCATTGTCCAATAAGGTGAATAGACTAAACCACCCATCATCTTCTTCAACCTGAAATCATTTTCTTTCTCATTTTTTCTGACTTTCCAAACAGAATATAAACACTATTTTTTTCCGTTGTTTCCCCCATTTCTTTCCCACTCATCCACATTAATTAACAATGGAAAAAAAAAAAAAGAAAAATTAGAAAACATTCATGACAACTACTCACAGATTCTTCATTTAACAAAACATAAAAGCACATCTCCAAAATCCAAGTATACTTCCAAAAGACTTGTAAATATCTCAATTAGCTAATTGGTGATCTAAGGAGAGCAGCTCGTGAAATCATGGTCTGTAGCTAAATACTTGTGTTCACCGTCAGACCATCCTTTACTATTGATGAGAGTGTCCATATTTGTGTCAGCATAAATCATCCTAGAACTCCGCTTCCACACGCGACACTTGTGCCAGTTATGCTATACTGGACAATTACGAATCCACTTTCTTCACTCTCGTTTTCTTTGTTGTGTGTTGCATTGACTCCAAAACCATTTGAAACTGATCTTATAGTGGTGTTCTACATCAATATCACAATTTTAAGATTTCATTCGCTCCAAAAAAGTATCAATTAAATTTCTCTTGGATTAATAAGCATTTAACTATAAGAATTATGGTTAACTAGATCCTTTTTATTTTATTTTATAATAGTATATGTTCTTATTTTTATAATTTATGCTTTATACGCTACCTATTCACATAATTCAGAGTGTAATAATAATAATAATAATAAGAGATGTGGAAATACCAAGCAGTAGGGGTGTTTAAAAGAACTGGTTGGAACCGGAATCGACGGGTATTCTGGGTTTAGTTCCGGTTCCTACCCAAAACCAATCATCAATGGGTAGGTTTCGGTTTCAAATTTTTGGAACCGTTACTGTGCGGTTCCAGTTCTGGTTCCGATTCCTATAGTTAGGAACCAGAACCAGAACCAGAAACCAGGAACCGAAACTAATACAAAATAAAATTAAAGATTAGAGGGGTTAATAAAAGCTTTTGTAGAAAAAATAATGTGATTACATTTATATTTATATTTCATAACATTTAAAGTAAGTTAGTTTGACTTTTGAGAATCTATCTTTACAAAGTAATGGAGTTTGTAGTTTGTAATTTATAATTTGTAATTTTATTTTTGTTAACAAGTGCCAAGTGGGGTGGTATTTGTAAGTTTTAAGGGTTTTTTTGCTATTTTAAAAACTTTTGGGGGGTCATTGTAATTTTATAGGGTACCCAGAACCGGAACCGAAACCGTTGTTACAGGTTCTGGTTCTGGGTACCTAGGAACCGAAACCATCGGTTCCGGTTTTGGTTCCAAATTTCAAGGAACCGTTGGTTCCGGCTCCGGTTCCGGTTCCTTCAAAAAGTGCAGGGTACCCGGAACCGAACACCCCTACCAAGCAAGGGTGGATCCAGCCTAGTTGGCCCATCCTCAATTCTTTTTTTTTTTTAAATAGTAATATATACAATTTCTAAATTTTGACATACCCTAACAAAAAAATTGATGGACAAAAATATTAATGTATAATTAGTTTTTATTTTGGCATTCCCTAACAGAAATTTCTGGATCTGCTACTGGTACCAAGTATAGGGATTACCCATTCTTAAAAAAGAAATCTTACGGTCCCTTGGATATAATGATTCTTGAAGATACATTTGTCTCTATCATCATACAATGTGTCTTGATAATTACCAATAAACTTGCAAGTATGGACTGTTACTTTATCTCCTACTGCTCTCATACCAACCACTTGTGCACCATGTCTTTTTTTATATGGCATTAGAGCCGAATTCTATGAGAAAATATCAAGAAAAAAGAGAAATAATTAAATTAAAGATAAGCACAATATAGAATGATGAAGCTAGTTAATGATGAACTCTCAAATGCAACACATACACTTTAACTTATTATTTGCTCTGTGTCAATTATAATTATAAAAGTGGTAATGTGTCTCTCGATGAGATTAAAAAATAAATAAATAAAAGATAAAAGATAAAGTTTAAAAATAGAGGTGTGAATTAGGCCCAGACCCAAAAAGCCTAGCCCAAAAATAGATCAGGCCCAAGAGAGGAGGGCTCTAGCCCAAGGTCCCAGGCCCAAGCCTGAGCCCAAACCCCTCCCCAATTTCCTTTTAACGCTTGTAAAATATCCAAAACCCCTTATTTAATATGAAATTAACAATAAATGAAAGGGTTTAAATAAAATTTTACAAAAAATAAAAAATAAAAAATCGGGTAGTAGCAATCAAATATGGGTGGGGTGGTGTTCCCTATATCTAAACTATAAACAAAAATGCTACAGACATTGAATGCTAGTACCGAAATTTTGCACTGATCTATTTGGCATCTGACTCGGACGTGGCCACGTAGGACACATGTATTCAGTGAATGAATGGTCGTCTAACAATTATGGACGATCGTTCATCATAAATGGATGAGAGTCCAGGAAATATCAATGGACTCCCGTCTATATATTATGGATGGGAGTCCCATTACTATGGATGACCGTTCATCTCAAATAATTTTTTTTTTTTTAAATTTACAATTTATTTTTCATTTATAAAAAACTATCGCTTGTTTAAGTCAAAATTTTTAGATGAAATATTCATTTTTAAAGCATAAAACTTTTAGATGAAATAAAGGGAAAAAAAAAATTTCATTTTTAAAGTAAAAAGCATGGACGCCAGTCCATCTAATGAGGATGGCTGTCCATATACAATGGACGACCATCCAAATGAGATGGACTGGTGTCCATACTCAAATAATTTTTTTTTTAAAATTTACAATTTTTTTTTCATTTATAAAAAAAAAAATGCAAAGCAAGAGAGATAAATAAAAAATACCCACAATGTAGAATTTTTTAAAGAATTTTTTTTATTAAACTAGAATTTCGGTATGGACAGACGACTGTCTATTGTATATGGACAGCCGTCTATCTTACATGGACGACTGTCTATTGTATATGGACATCTATACATTATTAGTTTTTAAACTTTTCTGGACGGGAGTCCATCTTATATGGACGCCCGTCCATAGTATATGGACACCCGTTGATAAGAGCTTGAAAGTATATATTTTGTTAGTGATTTAATTGGATTATTTGTGGAAAAATGTGTTTAATTTGTGGAATTTGAATTAATTATTTCATAAATACCTTTTATGGGATCACGTGTGTATTTTGACTATTTTCAGGTTTAAACCGATATTTGAAGGAAAAAGAATGATGTCGATGGAATTCGTGACAAGTAGGAACAAACGTGCAAGAATCAGAGTTGAAACGAGAAAGTTGTGACGCTTTGAAGATACAACGTAAAACCTGAAAATCCTTCAAGATGAGCATGCTTCGATTTTTCTATCATAACTTGAGCTGTAGAAATCGGAATTCGATGATTCTTGTGGCGTTAGAATGCTTATTCAGAGAGCTACAAAGTTTATGTTGATGACTTTACAAATTCTAAAAATCATGGGCTCGTGGATGGAAAGAACGATCGTCGCAATGACCATTTCTGATTGCCGCAACGATGGGTCACGAGCCTATTTGGGTTATTACATTCTCCTAGTCTGAATCTGAATGGGTTAAGGATTTAATTCTTTCCTAAGTAACCTCCAAACCCTAGCACTATAAATAAGGGCCTTTAAGTAGTTTTTAGGGGGATGAGAGAAGGAGAAATGACGACTACTATTTTGGAGATCAGAATGTAACACCCCACGTGAGGTATGTAGTTAAGATTTGATGAATGGCTTGAATGTTTATGGATTTATCCTTATTTGAGTTTGTATGTTGTTAATATTGTTTGGTTTATCCTTGGATGAAAAGGTGTCTTGGGTTGGTTGAGTGATTTCCCTAAAAATTTGTAAGACTTGGCGAAATATTAAGGTTACAGTCTTCGCCGGGGCAAAGAAGAATCTTCGCTGCGGCGATGAGGAGGTGCTACAATCCCATGTAGCTGCTGTGAGCTTTCGCCGGGGCGAAGAAAATATCTTTGCCGCGGCGAAGACTCGGTTGAATGTTCCCCTTGAGTTTTTGAGAATTCTTCCTTTTGAGACTCAATGACCATTCTACCCCTTTTTAGCAGGAAAAGTGGAGAGTGAAATGTAAGGAAATTGCATGGAGAATAGTTTGATTGGGGTTGTGTTTGCAAAGAATGAAAGGTCTTAGATAGAATTTCAAAGAAAGAGTAAGGGTATTTTGGGAAAGAGTGGAGAAAATATGAGATATTAAGGGTTTAGCTTTAGAAACCCTTTCATTTGCTTCTTCACCACCGCCTCTTTCATTCCTTATTTCTCTTAATTTTTCATTCAAGTTTCCAAAGATCTTTGAAGAGCTTTTGACTAGAAATTGTTACAAGTTGATCCTAAGCACAAGAAGGTGAGAATCCTTACTCTAGAAGTAATTT